AGCCACATCCAGCCTGGCCTTCAATGCCTCCAGGGATGGGGCATCCACAACCTCCTTGGGCAACTTGTTCCAGTGCTTCATCACTCTCTGTGTGAAAAACTTCCTCCTAAGCCTCCCCTGTCTCAGTTTAAAACCATTCCCCCTTGTCCTATCACTCACCCTCTTAAACAGCCGTTCCCCCTCCTGTTTATATGCTCCTTTCAGGTACTGGAAGGCCACAACGAGGTCTCCCCAGAGCCTTCTCTTCTCTTCTCTTCTCCAAGCTAAACAATTGCAGTTCCCTCAACCTTTCCTCACAGGAGAGGTGCTCCAGCCCTTTGATTATCTTAGTGGCCCTGCTAGTCTTAGGAGATATAGTAGCTTCCCTCTCCACCATTTTTCATTAGATAAGATGTTGAAGATTTATTCTAAACTGTTTCTGCTGTACATTTTTCATTTTCCAGTAACAGGAGTCCACCGTGTCTCACAGAGTAGTCTAACATAAAACCAGCATTAAGGAAGTATACATAAAGTGTTTTACCTTTTGTACCAGATAGCTGAGTAGAAAGAGACACAAGGAAAAATATCTATGGAAAACACATCTAGCAGCATACATTCCAGCAGCCCAGGCAAAACCTATTACTGGAACAGCATGAACAGGAGCCTACCATGAACTGCAGCCATATATCAAAAAAGCAGATAATATGATAACCAACAAGTCTTACTGTTTGGATTTTGTCTTCCGCAATTTTAATTGGCTGGCATTGTTCTTTTGCCATGAAAACCAAGAGCTTCCTGATCAGGGTGGCATCCTTCATGACAGCCTGCAGGTTCACAGTTTGACCATTTGTAAACATTCGGTCTCCAACACGATTTACAGGACGATACCTACAGCAGATCAAAATCATTTTAGAAAATTAACATTGCCAGAAGGTAACATAATAAGCCTCAAGCATTCTGAGCTTAAGTCTTCAATGTGTGAAACATAATACTTATGAACTAACAGTGAGCATTTAAAACTTCTTTTATTACACTGAGGCAGTCATAAAAAAGGAATGATTCCATAACAAGAAATTCTACTGCACACACAGCTATAATATTCACATATTCTGTAAGTTGAAATACTAATATCAAAATATGCTTTTCTAAAAACTAGCATGCATCTTCTGACTCCTTAGGAGTCAGGAGAAGAAGTCACTCCTAAACCCCGTGACTTCTTTTGTGCTTGTCTGGGAAATTTTTACCTTGAAGGAGGAACCACAAGCAGATCTAAAAAAAACATATCTGGGCTGAAAGCTGAGTCCTTATGGGGATCCATCCCAGGGAAGAGGTAACGCAGAAAGAAACCTGAAGAGATAAACACACCATTACTGCTTTTGTTTGGGAATTCAAACCCCCAGATACGCTCGGTCAATCAAGTCAAAAGACTCTGCCAAGTTAAATACCAGAGAGCTTGTTTAAAAAAACATTTAGGCAAAAATACTTTAAAAAGAATGCTATTGTTCTTTTTGGTCACATCTTTTTTTAGAAACAATTATGAATGGAATACAGAGCATAACAGAAGAAAAAATGTCAAAAGAGCTGGAAGAAAGATTCACAGCTACTGGCTGTGACTACAACATGAATTTTTCCTTCCAACTGTATGCACATTCAGTGCACAGGAAACTCAAACCATGGGGAATAGTAAACACAGAGCCACACAGACATCATATTCTCCATAAACAACCAAGCTTTGAGAAATGGCAATTTGATAACAGCTGATCAAACTAGGTGACCAAATGCTCTCCCTTTACTAGGAACCAGCCCTTCTTATCCCTAAAAATCTATCTTTCAACCAAGAGCTCTTAAGCAAAAAGGTACAGATTCGAAAAGGAATTCACACAGGAACAAATGTTACCTTCATTCTTCCACAGAGCCAAGACGAACTCCTTGGCAGTCATTGGTGTCAGGTATCCTCTCTTCCCTAACTGAGTTTCATCAATAGCTAAAAAGAAAGAAAAAGGGGAGAGCGGTGAGAGTAAGAAGTTAGTTTGAAAGGGTTGGGTTTTTTTTCCTTACAGTGGTGTTTCCAGCAAAAGGAAAGATTGAAAATAGTAACCAATGTATTTATTTGGTGTGCTACCCTCTTTAAAGTAGTGTCATTAATTTCATATCCTAAAAGCAAACACATCAATCAAAGAGTCTTCTCAGTACTGAAAAAGTAAGCCTTATATTGTCATCTAGTGGTCACATAAAAGTAAACAAAACAAAGCTCATCCCTAACAGCTGAAGCACGTTTTATTTGATTAACAGCAAACTGTACCACTTCTTTCAATCACATCCACAGATCAAAACAAAAATGAAGAGTCGCCTGGTGCTTGAAAAGACACAAGCAGGACTCAAGAATTACTAGTGAGACCAAGATTCACCTGAAATACCTTGGTCTTTGTTGGCTGACAGGAGGAAAATATTTCTTAATAATACTTCACACGCGGACATTAAAAGTGTCCACAAGAATAAGGCAAGCTATTCTAATTGTTGCAACTCCCCTGACTCTCCAGAACAACTATTTAAATCACTAAGATAACAAAACACGCCACCAGACTGGGAGCTGCTCTAAGGAGTTTAGAGATAGAAAGCCCAAAGTAGTATTTTACAACCTCATGGAGTCACAGCTGTCACTCAAAAGTAGTACCCCTGGGATATCTACATTTTCCTGCCTTTGTTGAATGTGTCACAGATAGGATGCTAAAGCAGACACCTGGAATTTAATGGAAACTGGGTAATCTCCTACTGCTGAACTTACTGTGGTTTTTCCCTTTGTTTTATGATTATTTTTTTTTTAATACAGAAGTCAAAAGCTCATATTCATTGTTAGGAATCTGTCCATCTTAACTACAGGCAAGTAAGTGCAAACATATTTGAGCAAAAGGCAAACATCTTACCTACTGGTTCATCCATGACACCTTCCTCTCCTGCCTTATGAAACACTGTAGAAGGATAAGTTACTGTCAGCTTGCTGTTATGCTCTTTTCGCACCAGTGATCTCCTTGATCTTAAAGGAAAAAAGAAAAAAAGAGACTTACACTACTTGATTTCACACCACCTGTTTAATTCCTCGTGTAGCCAAACTTACTTGCAGTTTGGGCATTTCTTCGAAGTCATATGTGCTTTCCAGAACTGGGATATCAATCTATTTCTACACTCACAAACATTTTTCACCTGGTGAGCAAAAACAGAAAGCAGAAAAGAAAACACATTTCATACAGAGCTAATCATTACTCAAACTCTGGACCAGGGGAGAAAATATTTTTACACATTTTAGATATTTTATTCTGAATGTAAGACAGTTCAAAACTCAAGAAGAAATTCTAGAGCCTGCATAATCAAACACAGACTTTCCTCTGCACATTATTATGTTATACAGACAAAATTTGAGGTCTCAAGAGGAGCGCTGATTCTACTTACATTTGAACACTGATCGCTCAGTTCTTGACTTTGCAGTATTTCATCAACATGGTGATTTAACTCTTCTTCAATTTCTAGAGCTGTCGCATCTGCACTTTGCTCTAAAAACTGAAAGAAATAGAATATAGATAGGTTTGTAATTACAGCACCATCAACTAAAAAAAAAAAAAAAAAAATGAATGGAGAAAGACAAACTACTTGCCCTATTTAAGATGACTTCAAGATCATGGACAGCATGAAGCAACCCATGCTCCAGAACCTTCAGCTGACTTAGCAGCAAATGAACCACAGCTCGAGTACATGTCAGCATGTGACAATTTAAACAAGAACCTCGAATTAGAAGGTATAGTTTCTGGAACAAAAAGAGAGAAGAAAAAAAAGTTATTCTGGAAGATTTATTAGCTTGCATATGTGTTGTCACTCAAGAGTAATGCTATATAAGTAGTCAAGTATCATCCACAATGACCTAGTTTTCTGGTATACGAGGACCTGCAGGTACAAATACACAAATATCTCTGTTGTGAGCTTGAACAGGACCTGAATGCCCATTTGGAAACTGATAAAAGTAGGTAGTTGTTGTCTCACAACTAACGTGAGGGATGGTGTCCAACAATTAAGCATACATACATCAAAAAACAGAGGGTTGTAGACAGTCAGAGGCAGTTCTATATGGCCAAAGTGCCCTGGGCAGTTGCTGAAGTTCTGCATGCAGGTTGCACACGCTTCTTTGGAATCAGGAGGCCCCAGAGCCAGGTCGTACAATCCATTAACAGAAGGATTGCCCACGTTATCCAAATACTGAGGGTTCGTTATGGCTTTTACGCTCAGTTTCCTGAAGTAAAAATAATTAAAAAATCAGTGGCGGAAAAAAAAAAGCAAAAAAAAAAAAAAGGAAATACGCTTTAATGTTACAGCCTGCATTGACACTGACCGATGAAAACACCTTTCTGCAAGCGTGCTGGGCACGCAGGGCATATCGATACGGCTTCCTACACCACAGTAAATACATCTCTTATATATTTAACAACTGCATGAGGAGTCACGTAACGTCAGCGGCTGCCCCGTGCCATAAAACTGTTCCGTCTTCCCCACAGGGAACGCAGCACCCCAGCACTCGGCGACCATGGGGGAGCCATTTGCTACTGCGGCCGGTGCGCAGGCGGACTACACATCCCGGCATGCAGCGCGCCCACAGCCCATAGCCGCGCTCCGCCGCCGCCGCGCAAGGCACGCTGGGAGTTGCGGTCCTTCAGGCGGTGCACGCAGCCCCGCTCGGCCGGAAGGCGGCAGGACGCAGCGCGCCTCGGATCCTCACCTGATCTCCTCGGCGCTGTACAACCCGAAGGAGACCTTGGCGAACCGCCACCACGGCACCACTTTCGGCGGCCTCATGGCGAACGGGCAGGTCTCTCCGAAACGGCACTCGGAGCCGCTGGGCAGCCGAGGCCGGAAGCACGCGGTCCCAGCGGCGGAGGGAGAGGCGGGGCCGGGCGCTACCACGCACAGCCGGGGGGAGGCGGGACGGAGAGCTCGTCCGCCGCCGCCGCAGGAGTGGGAGCGCCTTCCTTCCCAGAAAGCGCTGCGCGAGGGCCGGCATGGCGGCACGGCGGGTAGGGGTGAGCTCCTGGCATCGAGTGCTGTCGCTGAGCGGGCGGTGCGGACGGTAAGGTTCCGCCGTTACTTCAGGGCGAGGAGAGGGGAGCGATGGCAGCGAGGGGACTCTGAGGGGAGTTGAGGCGCGAAAGGGCGCGAAAAGGCGCGCCTGCGCGGCGCTGTCAGCATGTGTGCGGGGGCTGTGCGCATGCGCAGTGCGGCCTCGGGGAGGCGTGCGGCGGCCTGGGCAGAGCGGCCCAGCTGTCTGTGTGGAGTTTTCTTTTGGGTCTCTTCGCACCACAGGCTTGGGCTCGAGGTGTTAAAGTGGCCTGGTACCTGCCTAAGCGGCAGACTGGGGTTGATTTAAAGGTGTTCCTGGAGTGAAAGGCTCCTGTGCCTGCTGTGCTGCGTGTGGGCGAAGTGTGGCTTGTGTCTGAGGTGATGAGGGCATGGCCTGTAAAGTAAATACCTAGCAAATGGGAGCAGTTGTTATGTGTCACTTTAAAGCATGTAGGCATGTTAACAGCATCTTCAGCATCCAGCAGGGTCTTGAATATCTTCAGGGGAGACTCCACGAGCTCTCTGGCAGCCTGTTCCAGTTTTTGCCCTAAATTAGCTTCTTTAATTCATGTTCAGGATTTGCTTACTGAGATGCAGTCACAGTACCCCCAAAATCAATTGCAAATTTTTGACTTGTACTCCAGAACTTCATTAGTATAGTTTTGCTCTATTAGTTCGACCTCTATTCATTCAAAACTCTGATTGGTTTATAGGTGCTCTTCTACTAATACAGCTCTTGGGAAGACTGTTGAAAACTCAGAAGGTATGATGCTGTAATTACGAGTTCCTTCCTTTTCCAGCTTCCTCACAGCATAGTATGTCATACAAAGGAGATAGTGAGTGCCATCTTTCCCCTCCTTACTTTGCTCTCATGTTCACTGTACAGAGATTTCCTGGCTTAATTTGTTTGGTCCCCCTCACTCCAGCCAGCTATCCACATCTAATCCATGAGCTGCCCAATTACTGTTTGAAATGGAATACGGTTTTGATATCCCCAACATCCAATTACAAGGAGTTGTCACTTAGTCCTGAGAATCCAGAGAGGACTGAGAAGATCTGCGGCTCAAGCTGTAAGATATGGGACAAGGATGATTAAGGAAACGTTTATGAGTGTGGATAGGTTTTCTGAGGTAGAAGAAAACTCGGGGTTGTGATCCTGTCTACAGACAGGACTTCTGCTGCCAGCCTCTTCTGTTACCTGATGTAGTGGTCTATATCACACTGTGGTTTTAAAGACTTTAAGTACTTCTGACTATATTAGCTTAAATCATCGGTTTTCTATTAGTTTCTAATAACGGTTTTGTTTCTTGTAGATGCTCGAGAAGAAATTGTGCTCCCACGAAGGAAAACTTGGTGAGTGTGTACTGTGGGAACGTGTCATGGCCTGGAAAAAAGCATTACTGCTTGACAGCTAAATTTAATCTTGTCTGTGAATGAGATTGAAGCTTGTTTGTAGCAGAAGACAGTCTTACATTGCTAACTACTGAAAGATGCTTTTTATTTCTGAGCAGAAGAAAAAAATTGTTGTTTACGTTGGCTTTAATTAGTATTTCATTGGAAGGTGTTGAAAAAGAGAAATCATGTTGTTCTACTCTTAGACTTAATGTCCTAGTAGTGGATTTGCTTCTGATTGAGAGCTCTAGGAATATTTGTCATCCTTCCTCTTTGTGCAGAGTATATATACTCTGTTCCTGCCCTCTTTTTTGGAAACAGTTACAGGGATTGCAGTTAAAAGTATTATTCTGTTACTTTTCTAAAGATTACGTTCATGAGAAATTAATTTAATTTGGCTACCTGCATGTAGGTATGCTTCTTTCAACAGAAGAAACTTGGCCATTGATAACCTGCAGCTTAAAATCCTGTTTAGAAATGATGCAGTGGAACAAAAGCTATTTTGTTGGGATTCTCCTAATACTCTAAAGGACTTACTCTGAAATTGCATGACAGTACAACAGAAATTAAATTGATAGCCAAATGATGTCTGCGTGGAAGCTCCAAATAAGACCACCTCCACCTGAACCCTTTCAGTAGTCTGTTTCTTGTTTGCCTGAAACATAACCAAAGTCTTAAGGATCCATAGGTAGAAGAGAGGAATGTGTGTATCCATCTTCACAGCTGGGGTACTCTTAAGGGGCTCTGAGAAGAGCATTCCAGAGATTTTTTTCTTTGTTCTTTGTGTGCGTTCTCTGGTAACGTATAATAAAGGCAGTGTTCATAGCAGAAGGCTTGAATTCTTTTCTGTTTGTTTTTTTTTTTTTTTTTTTCTCAGTCTTGTCTTTCCTGTGGTTCGAGGACGGACTGTTCTTGCAGTTGAATTTTCCATCCCATCGTGAAAAGTGATGTTTTCTAAGTGAAGCAAAACGCCTGTTTTTTTTTTAGAACTGAAAATCTTTACAGTCCTGTACTTACGCTGCCTAACATTAAAAATCTCCAACCTAGTATTAATGAAAGCTTCTTTTTCACCTAGGGATAAACTAGCAGTTCTTCAAACATTGGCTTCTACTGTAAAAAGGGTGAGTAGTTTTGTTATGATCACAGATAGGGGTAGGTTTGTGCATCATCTCACATGCTAGTTGTCACTCTGAAGGCTCTGACTTCTACGCTGGCCAGAAATAGAAGGCAGAACTCATACATTGGTTTTTTTAACAGTTTCACTTCTGCTCAGCTCACTTTTGCTCAACTACCAGTGAAGGCTGTGCATTTTGATCAGGCTTTTGCTAAAATTAGGAGGGGCTGGAGCATCTCTTCTATGAGAAAATGTTGAGGGAACTAGGCTTGTTTCGCTTGGAAAAGAGAAGGCTCTGGGGAAACCTCATTGTGGCCTTCCAGTACTTGTTGGGAGTGTATAAACAGGAGGGGGAATGGCTGTTTACGAGGATGGATAGTGATAGGGCAAGGGGGAATGGTTTTAAACTGAGACAGGGGAGGTTTAGGTTGGATATTAGGAGGAAGTTTTTCACTCAGAGGGTGGTGACACACTGGAACAGGTTGCCCAAGGAGGTTGTGGATGCCCCATCCCTGGAAGCATTGAAGGCCAGGCTGGATGTGGCTCTGGGCAGCCTGGTCTGCTGGTTGGCGACCCTGCGTATAGCGGGGGGTTTGGAACCAGATAATCTTGGAGATCCTTTTCAACCCAGGCCATTCTATGATTCTAAGTTTCTGCAAATCATCCCAGGTCTCCTGAGACTGTTAGAGGTGGTGATCTTACTTTCTTTGCACTCAGTGCTTGCCCTGTTATAGTAAAGACCCTTTTGTGGTTGCTCTGTTAGCCCGCGTGTGTGCATAATGCAAATGCTTTTTGAACAGTTTCCAAATAGCTGAACTGTTCTGAGAGTGGAATTCTTGTAGCATGCAGTTGAGGTGGTACTTATGGTGGAGCTGTTCGTAGTGTCTCCATTCCATGAGGCACTGTGCCTGAGTACATAACAAAAAGTTTCAGTCCTGGGTTCTCCTTTCTACAGGATCCTACTGCTGCTCATTATATGTTCCAGGATGACCCTTATCTTATGCCAAGAAATTCAGCTACTGCTGTGAGTATTTCCTGTAAAAACCTTGATAATTGGAATCCTGCTGTAACTCTTTGGCTAGGCATTTAACTCATTGTAGCTGTATTTGTATACATTGGATATAGAATGTGAATCAGTGCTACGTAGAGACTTTGTGATTGCAGTTTAAGTTGAATTATGTGTAATTTAAAACCAAGTAGTTACTGGTATGCTTGTTACTACGCAAACAGCATGTGATTAATTAACCATCCTAGTCAACCCCTGGGAATTTTAGCTTTATCAATGAACAGCTGGGTGGATTAAAGTTGGATGATGCCAGCGGACGTAGATATAAAATAGAGAGAAATCACACCATGTCTAAGAAGAGAATCTTGAGCTTGAGGTATTAATGTGAGAGGTATCTGATCCATGGCTAAGTAACAGAGAAGTATATTACAGTCTAATTTAAGGAACAGACATCCTTACCTTGTTATAATACCAGAAAATGTATTTGGAATGTCATCTTTTCCCTGTGCTTTTATTAAGAGAGAGTTTCATTTTGTCCCGTTGGACCCCTCTATGCTATGGAAACTGTTTTTCTTTCCTCTCAACCTTATAGTTACATGCTTCATCAAACTCTTGTTCTCTCTTTCCTATGCAGCGTCTATTTTCATTGGCGAAGGAGTCTGGGAGAAATGCTGCCAAATATATTATTAAGGAATTTCCTCACTTTTTTGACAAGATTCTTGCTGAACCTAATATACCAGTAAGCTTTTTGCTGTTTTCATTGTATTTGTGTGTTGTCAGATAGTGAAATCAACTGTAAGACTGGGCCAAAACTAACGGTAAACAGTTGGTTTTGCTAACTACTAGTGTTGCAATGATGAGGTTGGAGCATATGCTTGACTTGTCCTCTGTGCTTTTAGAGTTTGATGCCTGAGATATGTACACCTCAGATTGAAGGTGTGAGTGAGGAAGCTCTGAAAGAGCGCATCAACCTCCGAATGGTGAAAGTTTCAGTGGACCTGTTTGATCAGCTCCTGCAAGCAGGTATGATCATCACCTGCCAGGTTCCAGGATGGAGCTCTGCTTAAATCATGCAAAAACTTCTTTTGGTAGCTGGCACAGTTCTTTAAGTTCTTTACGGAGAGAGTGGTGAGGTGCTGGAACAGCTGCCCAAAGAGGCTGTAGATGCCCCGTCACTAGAGGTGTTCAAGACCAGACTGGATGGGGCCCTGGGCAGCCTGGTCTAGTATTAAATGTGGAGGTTGGTGGTCCTGCATGTGGCAGGAGGGTTGGAGATTCATGATCCTTGAGGTTCCTTCCAACCCTAGCCATTCTTTGATTCTGTGGCACAGGCTAATGTGAGATAGTCACCTTGAATGAGAAATGTAGCTGGTTCATGTGTTGCCACTTCTCTGTCTGAATTTGTCTGCGAGGAAGCATCATTTGACCCATGCATGAAGATAGAATTCTCTCTTTGCACAGAATAACTACCACTGGAGGATGTCTGGGCTTTGTATGGAGGCAATTTCACAACTGTGTTGCTCATTTGTCTGTTTTAAATTTGTATCATAGGAAGTGAATCACCCAGTAGTCTCAAAGCAAGCTGTAGTCAGGAAAAGCACCTGACATTTTAGTTGCTGTTCGCAGTTTGGGCTGCCAGCTGCTACTGCCTTCTCCCACTTGATCAGGAAAACTCATTCAGTGACACTAACAGAAAAAGAAATACTCATGTCCACTGCTGAAGTTGTCTTCTACTATAAGTAGGTTCCTTAAGGTGTTAATTTCATACCTCCGTTTCACAGAATTGCTAGAGAACTTCTTTGTCAGAAGAGAAAATAGTGATCTGTTACAGCTGTACATTGAATGGTGATGTTTTTTCATTTCTTTGTGACTGCTGTACATCATTATTTCCTATAGGTACTCCCGTATCTCTGGAGACCACAAACAGCCTTTTAGATTTGTTATGCTTTTATGGAGATGGAGAATCTACTCAGGAAAAGGAATCCAAAGAAAAAGAGGATTTGGAAGAATCAGAGGTATAAAAAAGCTGTTGAGCTCTAGTTCTCTCTTTTTTAAGTTGCAAAAGTGTATAAAGGTGATTTCAAGGTTTTTGCCCTGTACCTGGCAGATGGTGTGAGGCAGGTCAGATGCAGTCAGCATCTCCTAGAAATACAGCAGTTATAAAAATCTTGTGTCTGACCTACCAGCTGAACTTAATATCTGGAACCTTGTATTGACTAGTTCTACTGAACTGTGTTTAAGTGCCTGTTCCCACTTCCAGATTTGGTTTTATTGTTCACCTCCAAAGACTTCTCTAATGAAGATTTAACAAAGTTGAGGGCTCCTTGTTGACACCTCAGAGAATCAGTCCCTGGATGCAGCAGTAGATGTTTGGCAATACCTGTCCCTGGGATGGTTGTTGAGAGAGAGAGGGTTTTATACTTTGTATGATGTAATTATTTCCTTCTACTCCACAAATGCATTTAATTCATCTTGTATTTTTAGTAACAAACAGTATTCTTAATCTCATTATCACTTCTTAAACATCATAGTCTAAATTATTTTATTGTAACTCATTCAGAATACTCATCCTTGGTAACATAAAAATTGCTGTTGAACTTCTGTAACTAAAACACATCATTTGATGTTTAATTATAACTTTGGATTCTGAGAAACTCACTTCTGCAAAAATCTTTTCAGGTGAATGCTTCAGAGCAGGAGACTCCAAAGAGACCTCCCCAAAGAGGAATGAACCCATCTGCCTCTAGATGGAGGTACAGGAAGTGTTGCCAGTATTCCTGTTTCCAGAGTGCTGTGCGCTCACACTGTCATTAGAAAAATGATATAAAGACTTATTAGCAGTCCATACTTGCAGATATTAATCTTAAGTACATCTGCATTGGCTAATTTTTTGAAGTATTGGTGGAGATCTAGAAAGTGATTGTAGAATAGTTCAAAGGGTGAAGATGAATGCGTTTGAGTGCCAGCCCTAAAGATATCTTTTATTGAGTTTATTAACATGGAGCTCGTGTGTCAATTCCAGGGAAAACAACAATGCTGAAAGGATATTTAAGATAATGCCAGAGAGGAATGCACACTCCTATTGCACAATGATCCGTGGGATGGTGAAGGTAAAATTCTCTGTAGTGCTAGGAGGGCTTTTTTCAGCTCGTGAAATCTCACATGCGGAGATTGTTTGTTTGCTTTATTCATTTTTTTTTTCCAGCATGGGGCTTCTGCTAAAGCTTATGACATGTACACAGAATTGCTGAATGACAGGCACAAGGGTAAGCATCTCCTGTTGTGAATGATGGTCTTCTAAATAGTAGAAAGAAGTTGTGGGTATGTGAATGTTTCTTTCATGGCAGTGATGATTGGCGCAGGGGTACGGACCTCAGCTGGATCATGGGAGCTGAGTGCAAACTTCTGAATTCAGTGCAGCTGGCGTGTGGCTGGCTCACTGGAAACAGGTTTGCATGAGAACTTCGCCAAAGACTGAGCCATGTTCCAACAAGTAATTCTCCACAGCATATTGTTGTCAGTTGGAATGAATTAGGCTTGTTTTTTTTATGTTTTCTAGCTGATGTGCACACCTTCAATGCACTGATTGCAGCAGTCCCATTTCTGAAGGACAGGTTCCTGGAAAGATGGGAATTAATCAAGGTAAGCAGGTAAAGGGAAGGGCTAATAGTCCAGGGACTGAGTCTGCATTGTAAGTTTGCAGTTGTTCACAGACTGATGCTGAAAATGAGCTTTGTAAGAAGAAATCAGTATCTGCTGCAAAGGAATTAATGCTGGTTTAGATACCAACTAGCTGTTACGGAGTGAACAGTGTACAAAATCCAGCTTTGTGCTTGCAGAACAGTTTGTTTTCTGAGAACATACTGATCCAAGAACTGCCAGGCCAGAAAGTAATTGGGAAATTATGATCATAAAATCATAGAATATAATAGGAAGTTTAAAAAATAGGTTTAAAGCTCCTCTCTGAATTGTAATTAATGGTGTTGGAAATGGAATTTAGAGGAGTAGTAACATTAGAGGTTCCAATACTAATGAGATGATAACATCAGTAAGGAAGATTAGTTAGTAAACTTAACAATTTCTTTGATGTTCTGGTCAGAAGTCTCAAAGATCTGGTGTGATGTCATTTGGTAGTCTTGTTTCTCAGTCAAATTAATTAAAGATGAGGTTGTTCTTCCTAAACTGATCACTTCAGGCAGTGTTGTTCATTTGCAGGCTATGAAAAGGCTTAGACTGGGGAAATATCTCTGCCTCCTTGAATGATGATAAACTGTGATCCATCATGTGTGAAGCACTAAGGATTTTGTTGTTTTTTAAGATGTTCTTGAATCACATGGCTCAGCAGGAAGTGCAGCCAAATGTGCGAACCTTTAACGCTGTACTGAAGGCTCTGAGAAGATGTGGTGGGGTAGGCAGAAGTATGGCTGTGCCAGTGATAAAGGAGATGGAAGCACTTGAAATCGGTAAGAGAGCCAGAATGCCACAGCCAGAATAAAGTACTTGGAAGCTAAAATTAGGACCATGTTTATTGTTATTGTTAACCTAGTTACATTTAGCTCTTCAAGGACAGGAGTGGGCATGCAGTGGGCACAACAGATTTGATGTGTTGTGGAGGGTGCTTTGCCCAAATAACAGCTTGCATGCTAAAGACATGCAGAGAGGAAAACTAGGTATAGAACTTACTGCTGTTAAATTAGAAGAGCAGGGAAGCTTGACCACATGTCCCTTAGCAATATGGTGCTCCAGCTGACTGTTCATGCTTAGATACTGTCTCTTCCAGTACAGTGTTTGTAAACGAGGTGTGTCTGTCATTAGGGTGAAAAGGGGAGGGGTGATTGAGTAAATTATGAGTAGTGCCTGACCAGAAGGCCTGGAGACAGTGAATCAGAGCTTGAGCATAATGCTCAGTCAAGAATGTTGTGGTAATTTCAATCTTTTTACTTTTCAGAGCCTAGCCTTGCAACGTATGATCATCTTCTCTCTATATTTTATAGAACTGGTATGTGCAGTATTACCTTGTCTGTGAGCGTATCTCAAGTAACATCTGGTTTCAGTACTTTCAAATGCAATGGATAAGAGCAGTTGATTTATGACCTCCCATAGAGCTTCTAAGGTGTGCAGTCCTAGCCTTGTTAACTGTTCTGATTCCACTTGAGTGAACAAAATGCTACAGAGTATCATTACTTCTTCCAGAGATGAAAGAGTCCTGCTTTGGTTGTTAGCTGCAGAAACTGAAAAGAAAACCTATTTTCTTGAGTTGATAAAGGCTACTCAGTCTTTGTGGAGGAGATTCTGTACCAACAAAGTTCACAGTACAGCTGAGATGTGATATTGCTTATTTGTTTGTCCCACAGCTGATCTCGCTCCATCAGGCATCATCTCTGAGGTGCTAGATGATGTTGAAAAGAGGAGCTTCACTCCCCAGGACCCTGATGACGGTATGAATTTCAGTCTATCTGACAGTCAGGTGTTGGAGGGGACAGTTGTAACAGCTTGGGCAGCTGTGGGTGTGCTGAAGAGATGGGTGATGTACCCCAACACCTGTCTTTGTTGCATGTGTTCTCTGCCTTAGGTCAAAGAAGAAAACATAGCTTTTGTAAAACTGCTCAAGCTCAGACAGATCACCTGTATTGCTATATTGTCAAATTTAGCTGTGCATTCAGTTTCTAATTGAAAATGTCATGTCTATGCCTTGGGAGGCTGGGTTAGTAGGTTGCTGTCTCATTGAAAGCTGGAAACTAACAGACTTCATTTTTTCCCTTTCAGCCAGATTTTTTATCAGTGCCATGCAGGTGGTAAGTAACTCATCTCTGCAATCCAAAATCATTTGAGCCCTCTAGCTTTTTCTGGATTGTCTGTGAGTTTTCCAGCCTGTCATGTAAGATTTAGCTCTCAGCGTCATTCTCTTTTTCACCTGTGTCCATCACCTTCTGCAACCTTCCTACATAATTCTGCAGTTTTTTGTTTGATGTTTCTCAGTAACTTGCCTGATGCATGCATTTCTTGGTACGCAGAGCTACACAGCTGCTTGTGTTCTGTGCCTGCCTCCTGCTTCTAGTAGCAGTCAGCTGCCTCCACACCAAAGAGTGTCAGGGTAGCTCACTCAGCAGCTTTGGATTTTGCCCATAGGGAGAGTCACTCATTTGTCCCAAGTAAGAAAGATGCCTAGGCAGTCACTGTGCTGAATTGCATTCTGTTAAGAATGTTTGCTGTCAGACTATTACTTGTCTGTGTGAAAGTGAGTCTTGGAAGAAAGTGTTAAGTGTTACATTTGGTAGCTTTAAAATCTGACTCGTTTGTTGCAGTGCTGTGATCTTAAGGATATCAAGCTTGCCTATCGTTTAAATAAGGCAATGGAGAAGGGAGACAATTGGAAGTTCTTGGACATGGATCGATTAAATTCGTACTGGTGAGTGAAGTGAGGTTGACATTCAGTGTCTTGAGTGTTGTTACCAATTTGAGTACAAACTGAGATTTGAACATTGTGTAGGAAGATGCTTTGTTAAACATCAGATATTGTGTGTGCAGTTTGGGAATTAGTTAACAAAGAAGCTCTTAAGAACAGCAGTAGCTAGGATTTATTTTTGGTTTATGGCCTTCCCCAAACTGAAATAAAGCATGTTGGAGTTAGTGAGTTCATGAGTTCAGAATGTCAGAAGGTCAAATGTGTAAAATGTGTCAGAGATGATTATCATTTAAGGTCATACCTCCTTAGTGGTCCCTCTTACATTATAGAACTGTTACCTGCCCAGGAGGACAGAGAAGGATCAGAAAGAAGGTTGTAAACCCAGCCCTTCCATCTCCTCAGTTTAGCTTAATCTCCATCCAACATTATACTAACCAGCTGAATCTTTTACAGTCCAGTTATCCACTTAGGATGGCAGTTGAGGAGACCACAACAAAGTAGCACATATGTGGTGGCTGTATCTCTGTTACATGTAATGATCACAAATGTATTCAGGCAGCAAACTTCCAGGCAGTTTTGCCAATTGACTGCAGTCATGGCATCTGAATCATCTTTGCTAATGTAATTAAGTGCTGCAGTCGCAGAATATAATTAACTACTTAAAATATACTGATTTGAAGAAAAACATACTAAGACATTGTAGCTAGAGATGCTCCTATAAGTTAATTAGAATAATAATCTGGTCCTTCTCTGTGCTTCATGTGATCTAATTGTTACCAAATTAGAGCCATTTTCCCTCCTGTAGGTCAAGATTCTTTTCGTTGTTGTGTATGATGGAACAAATTGATGTTGTCTTGAAATGGTACAAAGAGATGAGCCCTTCGGTGAGTGTTTCTTACTGTAAGCTTTAAAGCTTTACAGTGGAGAACAGTTACAGTTCACTGAAGTGATTCTTCCTTCATCAGCTCTTCTATCCAAGTCCTAAAAATATCTTGGACCTCCTCCAAGCCCTGGATGCAGCCAACCACTTGGAAGTGATCCCTTCGGTCTGGGAAGGTTGGTGAGAGCCACGTGGCTATGTGGGCCATTGCTCAGATATAAGCTGGCAGCAGTGCGCAGTGGGAGGTGTTGGGGAATACCTGGTGGTGCTCAGAGAGCTGCAGTCAGATGCTTTGGCAAGAAGGATGTTATTCCTGAGTGCAGCGGGGAGGTTACTTTGATAGAGAAAATCTCTGCTATAAGTTCTGCCCAGTCAGAGTGGCTGTGCTATGTTTAAATGCCAGTAAGAATTAGAAGGCATTGTCTTGGGAAACAGAATGCTTACCAGGTAGCAGTAGCTTAAGCAACTGCGCAGGTTTAACTTGTGTAAATTCTTTGCCTGTTCTTTGATTTTTAAGCTGGGGAGACAAGGATGCAAATATGGTCTTTAGCATATAGAAAATATCCTACTGACTGCTGTCTTTATCTAAACAGATATGAAACAGCTAGGGTTTAGTAAGAGACGAGATCTTTTGGAAGAACTTTTGTCCTTGATGAGCAGGGATCAGCACCCTGAAGAGGTAAGGAAGCCCAGTAAGAAGCCCAGTCTTCCCATTTCTGTGTATGGCACACAGTGTTGCTGTCCCTAGGCTGTGCTGTGCTTGAGCTGTCTTACTATCCCCAGATCTTTGAGATCCAGTTGCTGTGTGTATGCTATTACAAGTTTTCAGATCTGTCTGAGTTTGTCCAGATCTGCTGAGCTCTTCCAATTGTCTTCAGTATGTAAAGAAACCTCAAATACAGAAGGGGATGACTTCTGGACCAGGGTTTGGAAGAGGAATCCTTCAGTGAGGGCTGTTGAGCAAGAACATAACACATCTCTGGGGATGCTTATGGCAGCATTCAGGGATTTTTGCCAAAGATGTCACTGCTGTAACTCTTCATCTTGAGAAACCAGTTAAAGACTTATGTCTCTAAAAACAGTTCTCCTCTCCAAGGTTGTTTTGGAGCCTGACTTGTGGGAGCAGCTGTCCTGACAGAAGAGAAATTTTTTTCTGCCAAGATCAACTGCTGTTAATTTGCAGAACTAAATCATGCTGGGGCAGACCTACAGTATCTGTAGAGGATGTAGGAGGAATGGCATTGAAGTGGATAACGTTAATTGCAGAGGTTTTAGCATTAACAGTGTGATCATTTCACAGATTCAATTGGCATTTGCCAAGTGTGCAGAAGATATCAAAACAGTCCATGAGCAATCCGGGAAGGATCAGGCACCAGTGGAATGGACAGGCAGTGCGCTGGGCAGTGTCACTGTGGTGTTTTCCAGGGCTGGTAGAATCCAGGATGCTTGGTACGTGTGTGGCTGTTAGGAGCTCTTTGGTGATGCTGTAACTCAGGTGTAATCAGAAAACCCAAATCTTTATGGCTGATTTTCTAGGAATGCTAGTGCAGATAAAGGGATTTGGGTCAGTCCTGCTGGGGATGTTATCTGCTGGGGCTTTTTTCTTAATTTTCTTGTTCATTTTTGAACCAAGCTGTAGCTGTATGTCCTTAAAATGGTTGGAAGTAAGCACAGTAAGCATGGCATAGAGCGTTGGCCACTTGCTTGTGGCAAGATAGGACTTACTATCACTTTAATAAGAACAGCTGATTTCCTACAGCTTCCCATTTCCTAATATTTAGAACTCTTCACCAAATTCCTAAAGAGTTTAAATGGTATAATTCTTAATTAGACCTATGTCTAATTAAAACTGAAATGAACATTTTTAGAACGCTTCAAAAGCTAGAATTGGCTGTCAAATTGAAATACTGGTTAAAATACCTAGCCTCCAAACATGAAGTTCTGAGCCATCTCTGTTAAACATAGGTACTTTGCACTCGTTTCTTGGACACAAAATTAGTAAGAACCTTTCTAAAAGCATCTAAGATTTCAAAGTAAACTTGTCACCAGTCACATTTGTCATTTGTTCTGTAGTATTTAAAAGTGTTCTTTGTTAAGCTGTTCAGTGATATCAGGTTAGGATGCATCTGTAAGCATCTGGAATGGGATCTTCTGGAACTGGGGGGTGTCTCTAGGAAATAGAACTCACCTATGTTTCATCTAGGCTTTGTTCCAGAGGTTTAATACTTGTCTATGCCTGTGTTTTGTTTTTGATTTTCCTTTTGAACAGGAGCATGATGGAGCATTTCCAGCAAATCAATAGGATTCCCACGTGAGTACATCCAGCTTCTGTCTTTGTGTACCCAGTCCTCCTTTGCTGAGACCTTGCATTTCCATTGTGACTGATAACTGTGGACCATATCTAAGGGCAGATGTTAGTGGCACTTTTCTGCAGGCTTCTGCTAGCTTGGAAGGAAGACTTAATGCTGACAGGTCCCTTCAGAGCCCCTCTGTCAGTTTGGGGAATAGGGAAAGGAATTCTCTGAGATTGTACTGTAGTTGGTAGTTCATGGGTTGTGAATGTGAAAGGAAAGTGGTTTCCATGTTGTTATAAATGGATCTGAAAGCTCTTTGGTTGCAGTGTCCCCTGCTCCCCTGCAGCAAGTGAACACTTGCTTGCTTCCTTGCTGAAAGGCAACAAATGTGCAGCAGCTGTCACAGGTAACAAAGGAGCAGAGCCAGCCCTACAACATGAAGGAGCTGGAGGAGCAGAGCTAGAATCAATGGCTCCCTGTGCCCATGGACATCATAGCAGCTTCTGGCAGAGGCACACTGGTCTGGGATTTCATCACTGTTCTACTGTTTCTGTACCTCTACTAGCCACAGCGTAGGCCTTGTGGGGGCTGTAAAGGGAGGAGAGTTACTTAGGCTGTTGGAAAGGTGGAGTCTTCATCCTGGACAGCGAGCTGCTGCCATCTGTTTTTGTGCAATACTGCTTTCTGTAAGGATAGGAGTTCCAAAACACATCACATTGATATGGGTTGAAGGCTGAGGTGCACTTGTAACAGCTCTGGCAAGAGCAGAATTGGGCTGGTTATGTCATCTGAAAAGTGTCACCTCCTTTCCCACTCTAAGGCAGCTGCATGCAGTAAGCTCATGGCCACCTCACCTGGGGCCCTGTGAACCGCCACCCTTTGCCTTTGCTCTTACAGTGACCTGGTGATGGATGAGTTCTTGAACTGTGCTAAACAAACCAATTCTCCAGATGAGGCAATTAAGCTGGTAAAGCTGGCAGCGTCCCTTGGTCTTCCTTCATCGCAGAAGCTACAAAGCAGGATAGAGAAGGAATTTGAACTCTCTGAAGACCAGAAGTAAGTTGGACTGCTTTATGGTATTGCTGTAGGGGTATGGTAGGCAGGCTGTTAGAGGGATAATTCCCGTGCAAAGGCTTCTCTGCTAGCACAGCTGAGAGAACCTGCTTTCAGAATGATGTGCTTTTGTGTTGACTGCTTCTTTCACATCTCAAAAAATAACCCCCCTTGATCACACCTAAAAGGGGATGATGTGACCTTTCACTGTGGGGTTAATTACCAATAACACCACTCAGATCTGTTATCACCTTTCCCCCCCAGAATCTTTTCTGAGCAGGCTCTGGCCTCTGAAAAGACCTTGATTTCAGGTGCATAAAAGCAAGGAAAGGGCCACCAGTGTATTTCACAGCTTCTGAGGTTTGTGGTCAACCCTCAGTGCGTTCAGTTGACCACTGCGGTTTGTTGCTGAGCTTCTGTGGTCACACTCAGAGGACAGGCCTAGCCTGCTCCTAGCCAGCAAACAAATAGAAGTTCCTGCAGCCTTGATAGCTGGCCCAGCAGTCTGGGTAACTGAAGTAGTCTGCTCTGTCAGAAAAAGATGGGTGTGCTTGGACCAAATGCTGGGTGGACCTGTCCGTTGTGGCAGTAGGCATCAGCAGCCCAGTGTTCTCCTTGGAGCAGGATTACCCTGTGTTTTGGATATTTTGTTTCAAGCAAAAGTTTCCAAAGGTTTTTTCAACGTATTTTTAACTCAACTGTTTAATACCTGCAGGAAGGCACTGGAGAGCATCCAGTCAGACAGTGACAGCAGCGACGACAGTGACAGTGACCATGACTAGCTGTCCTCCCTGCCTTCCTTTGGGAAAAGCTGAAGTGCTCTGGTGAGACACATGCTGCTTTCTGGAGGCTGCTCAGCAGCACAGCTTGTTGGAAGCTTGAGCAGCACTTCTCTGGGACCTCCTGGGACTTAAATCAGTGCTGAATTTAATTCCTTCCATTTTGACTTCACTTAAATATGAAGTTTACTCTGTATGTAAATGCTGTAAGTAACATGGTATTCATTGTCTGTGGTGTTAATTCTCATCCGTTTGGTGTTGGGACAGGCTTCGGACTGTAGAGGAAAAGCTGCCACTTGTTTCAGCCTCTGTACAGCTGGATGCTGCATCTAATAAATGGCTGAATTCTGGTAATCTCTGTCCAAAAAGTGCTGGTTACGAAGTGCTGCTGGTCTGGGAGAGACCACGAGGCAGCCTGTTCTCAGCTTGCAGAGGAATCTTGGTAGGCTTTTTGAGATAATTTATTGTGAACTTGCAAAGGTTCTTTTCCTGATTGTGCTGAAGCATATCCCAGTGGTGGACGAGTTAACAGCCAATTCCCTTCATAAAAAATAAAACCTTGGTGGGTGTAATGCTACAGGAAAAGTCCTAACTGCTGTGAAGGCAGCTTAGGGATCAGTCAGTAGTAAGACTGGGAGACAGCAGCTGCTAAAGGTTGAACTACAGCTTGAAGTCTGAAAGTGTTGTTTGCAGAACAGTAAAAGATTTGTAAAGCTGAGTGAAGCTGTTTGAAGGCAGTGTTTGCTCTAGGAAATGAACATTCACTGGTTAGGGACATTGAAGACAGAGCTCCTGTTTGGTGCTTTTTCTACCACCAATTTAACAGAACAGCAAGTAGCCAAAGCTACAGCCATTCACTTCAGCTACTGGGTGCTGAGTTTCATCACTGCCTTCACTGCTGGTGAGAATTAAGGTAGTGGTGAGAGCCAGGGAAGGAAGGAGCTTGTTCTCTGCATGTTAGTGTGGCTGAACCAAAGTCTGGCTTGTAGCTTGGTGCACCTGCTTTGAAACTGCAAAACAGGTCTAAAAAAACCACGCAGGGTCTGTGTCCACCATAATGCATGCTTTACATACATTTGTCTACTTAAACCTGTACTCATAAATCAGTGAATTCTCACTGAGAACAGGATTAGTTCAGAGATGAAGCCTTGTCTTCCTCAGGTCACAGAGGAAAGCAATCTGCATGGCATCTGTCTTTGCTATTAAAGAGGAAACTGAAAAGCAGGGAGAGTGGTTGAAGTCTTGTTTTATTCAGCTGACAATGTGGCAAATCATTAATGGTAGGTTACAGACATTTTGTTTGGATCACAAGCCTGCTTGATAAGATGGGGAAACAAAATAGTTACACAAATTGTGGAGAAGCTTCCTGAAGTTGGTGGACATGATAACGCAAAACCAATACAAATACAACAGGTGGTAAATTAAATAGAGTGCAAGGAAACAGGACAGGACCCACGCTTTGATTTAACGCTTCCAGCCCGCCCCCACCAGCTGTTTGGTTTGCAACCCTTAGGAGCTCACCCTTAGGAGGTCATTGGGTTTCTCTGCAGCGTGAGCAAGTGCTGAACTGCCTCTGAACTAACAGTCCAAGCTCATTGCACTTGAGTTGTTCCCAACCCCACAGCGCTGGCGTATGCTGTCAGGATATCCACTATTTGTTTGGTTTCGAGGGTCATTCGAGCTTCAGTCAGCCAATCGTGTGCAACTCTCCTGGACTCTCCTCTTAACTGGTTGACAAATTTAGCTGCCAGCTCCAGATCTCCGTGTTCAATGCAGTAGGAAGCGTAAGACAGTAATTTAAATGTATCGAGGTCATCAGGGCTGAGCTCGGTTGGTGGCTTCAGCTGTTGAGGGTGGAACACAAGAAGGGACTGCAGGTACGACAGGAAGTACTGATACAAGCTGTTTCTTGTTTCGTCAATCATAGCTACTCTTTTTGCCAGTTTTTGGACTGTGTAGAAACGTGCTCTGAGGGCCTCTTCGCTGTACACCCCTCGTGTCAGAGACTCCTGGGGGAGGGCTGCTGTTAAGGCTTCTGTAAAGGCGTTGTCAGAACAGCTGGCCTTGATGGCCTTCACTGCGCTCTCCAGAGGCTCTGTGGGGCTGTCACCAGAGGCTGTCTTCATGCAGTATTTGAGTGCTTCCACAGAAAGCCACAGCTGATGGGCCTTTCTGGCCTCCTCTTCTGCTACTGCATGACCTGCAAATTAAGTCAAGGGGACTCTCAGTTGGGGCACACAGACAGGAAAAAGCGTAGAACACAAAAGTGTTCAAGCAACAAAAGCCATCCCTCTGAACACTTCCTAAAGCAGCCACCCCCTTGCCACCTGCTCAAAGCAAGCCTGTTCCACACCTGGGATCAGAATCCCTGACAAGAGAGCAAAGGTATGGCTTTGGCAGAACCAGCTTTGGACTTTGTAGCTGGGATTTATTGAGTACTCAGCCAATGGCAAACCATCAGCCACGTGGCTAATCCAGTGTTCAGGCACCAGATTTGGATAAGAACTGTGACTGCTCCTTAAACAGATGAGATCTCAGTGCTCACTCTCAACTGCTTGCTCAATTCCTTTCAGCCTGGCGTAGGCAGTGTTTATATCCAGCGTGAAGTTGTCAAGCTGCTCCTGAGTAAGGCGTCGGAATTGCATTTCTTGCTCGCTGAGTTTCTCTGATAAGTTCTGAAATAGATATGTAGATCATCAGGCCAGTAAGAGCTCTTTCTTTAACTAACTGTATTCAACATCTTTGTAAGATATGTTTCTGTAACCTTTTATTCTCGCCACAGACAACACACACAGTAAATATACCAGTGATAAGTCTTCTTAAGGTGGTGAAATTAACAGTTAATGAATTTCTAGTTATCAAATTTTCACATATAGCTGAGGATTTTAAGACAACTCAGCATAAAACCTACATGCTGAAGGACTTCTTCATCTCCTCTAGATGAGCACATTCCCTCCCCAGCTCCCACTGAGTGTTCCAGAAGATGGTTCACATTTCCTCCAGCCAAGTGCCTGCATTGTGATGCTTCACCGCCAGCATTTTAGCCAAATTCCCACCCAGCTCCTGGGGGTCTCCTCTCCCTCACCTGCTCGAATTCCACCTTCAGCTCCTGTTCCTGGATCTTAAGAACATCCCGCAGGTGATCGGTGTGGGCAGCTGCCTGCCGCCGGAGCTGCGTCCTCATTTCGCTCTCCATCACCTCTCGGACCTCTTCAACCTGTACACAAGCAGTTGCTATTGCACTGCACTCGTTACCTATCAGCATGCATCTTCATAGAAGCGTTAAAGATTTAAGCTCACACCTCATCTTATAAAGCTGCCAAGAGCCACTCTTACAGCTAAATTTTTTCCTAAAGATTGCAAAGAGCAGCCATTCTACATCTGAAGAAGCTTCCTCACTCAAAATCTCCCTTCCATGCTTAGCATAGGCAGGGGGCCCCAACCTGAAGTCCCCCAGCACTCAGAGAACACCCTGCTGCTCCCTGTGCCCCTCTTCTAGGTGAGTTCCACCACTTTACCTTCTTCTCCTGTTCTATTTCAATCTCACTTTTGTGATGTTCCAGTGCTTTTGCCACAGCTGCCTCAAGTGCCTTTTTATCTTCAAGTTTTTGCTTCTCCAGGGCCAACTCGATGTGCTGCTGCTCCCTGACGCGTTGCTCAGCCAGCTCCTTGTTCAGCTGGTCGATGCGACGATGCGCGTGTGCAATCAGAGAATTTAAGTCATCTGTTGATAGCTGCCCAGCTAAAAAACAACAGGGTGTTAGAAAGGGCTGCAGAGAAGCTGCCCCACCTCCCCCTGGAGAGCTCCAAGGGTCCACATGTGGTTGACCTGTGAGCACCTTTTAAGAGACGCTGACTGGTGGTAATGCCCACCCAATGCTCCTTTCTGAACCAAATCTACAAGTACTTCCTATCACTTGGAGAAAAATTACCGTAGTTCATTTGAATCGTTCACATCTATTATTTATGCTCGTCAGCAGTTCTCCAGGCCAACTGTTCACAGCCATATTTGCTATTTGTTATCTCGTGCAGCAGTGCTCGTGTCTGACCCGAAAACTAAGCAGCACCACTAGGGAGCTCAGCAGTTGAAATTACTGCTATTATAAAACAGAGCTGGGGTTTACTCCACTTCAGTTTGAAAATCTAGTTTCCTTTGATCAAAAGGAAAAAAAAAAAAAAGAAAATCAACCTCAGAATCAAAGAGTAAATCAATCATGAAGATTAAGTTCAAATTCAGTTGATCGATTTGGTGACCTAGCTCAGAGCACCCAGACATGCTAGCAGTATTGCAGGAGCTAGCCTCAATCAGGCCAGAAGTTGGGCCCTCTTGATGAAAAGCATTGTCAATTAGAATTAACCACAGTTAATTATAATTGATTAGTTTCTGTTTCTCATTGGAATTTCAGCAGCTCAACTGGTGACTGGCTGAAATTAACAAAGCAAGTGGAAGAGTGGCTTTCAGATGCAAACCACACTCACCTGGCAAGTGAAAGCTGCTAGACAAAGTCTGGTTTAAGCTGCACATGCAGAACTAGTGGGAAGGATCCCAAAGCACAGCCCAGTCTGAAATGTTTCAGGGATACTTTTCACCACTTTGTTGATACTGAGTATAATTTAAAGCCGTGCACCACACAAACATAAAAAAGGACAAAGAGGAAAGAGAACATTCACAAGACCAGAAAAAGTTACAGGAACTCACCTAGATCACTTATGTCTGCAACAGAAAGAGGAGAGGTTGGAAAAATTAATGCACATTCACTACAGCAGTCAGTCATGCTAAAGTAAATAGACAACTAACAGCTTCTGGTCTAGAATGATCCAAGGCTTCAGGAGTTTAAGAACAGTATGTTGACTCCAGAGATCTCTCTATGTTACAAGCAAGGTGTAACCTGAAACATCCGCACCACAGCTGCCTTTGGAAACCCACAGATGAACCTTTAGGTTCAGCCAAAGCGAGGAATATGTTTGGAGTAAAGAAGTGCAACAGGTCAATGAGAATTTCCAGGTTCTTAGAAATGAGGAGCAGTTGGTTAACAGACAAATTTCCAAGCAGCAGTGAGAGAGCCAATATCAAGCCAGTCCTGTACTTCATAGGGTCACACTTGTGTGAAACTGAACGCCTGGAAGCTGCCAGGAGGTTCCCTCTCTCAGAAAAGTGCAGTGCTCATAACATTCAGGATGTTCTCCCCTTATCCTGCATTAGGAATGGCAGCTCCATCTCCAGATGCCAAAATCCTGTTTTCTTCTTCTCCCAGAAGATTGCACATAAGAGACAGCACAGCAAATTGCAAAGTTTGTTAACCTAACAAGTTTTTCTAACTTCTTAAAAAGTAAAGACCCTGAGTATTCCAGAGACTTAGTGTTTTCATTTAGCTTTGAAAATGAGTTTGTGGATTAACCTTCATGTTTCTAGAGCATTAAGTACTATTAAGAAAGAGGATCACAGAAGATGAGTTGACTGACTTAAGCCACAAGTATTTGATTGATTGTGAGCCTGACTTCTTCTCTGCTTGCCTGCAACAACACTGTGGTGTTATCTGAACCTTCCAACAACTTCAAGTAATGCATTTATCCCTCGAGAGAGGCAGAAAGATTCTAACTGTACTTCTGAATCACATTTCTTGCTTCACTTTTTTCTGTTATAAAGAAAGCAGGAAAGAGCTCCAGCTGAAAAACCAAAGCACCTCAAAAACATGAGTGTGCCAGATGTCAGACCTCAGACAAAGAACTGTAGCAGCTAGAAAACACCATGCAGACATTCACTGCTTCTGTGTAGCACTGGCTGTTACTCCAGATCAGCTCTTTTTTAGAACTAACATACCAGAATAAGTAAAGTTGCCCAGGGAGGTTGTGGATGCCCCGTCCCTGGAGGTGTTCAAGGCCAGATTGGATGGGGCCCTGGGCAGCCTGGTCTAGCATTAGGTGGAATGGTTGGTGGCCCTGCATGTGGCAGGGGGGTTGGAGATTCATGATCCTTGAGGTCCCTTCCAACCCTGGCCATTCTGTGATTCTGTGATTCTGTGAAAGTATGTAAAGAGCAGTGAATTCGCTCTTTCAGTTATCTAAGAAGAATCAGGGAGCTCAGAATCCAGGAATCCTGGAAGCAGGCACTGTGTTACAGCTGCTCTATGAACTGGTCTATGGTTACTTCACTGCCATCATCCAAGACTTACTGAGCCCCTTCCAGCCCGGCTGCACATCGGGGGTGATGCTGTCGAGCTCTCGCTGAAACTCCTCTCTTGCTGTAGCCACAAGTTCGTGATACTGAGCCACAATCTTGGCCTCAGACTGTGCTGCCTGAACCTGTAACAAACAAAAAAGGAGACTGGCTTATCTTTCTAGGCATGGAGACTTAAGTCATCTAAGAGCAAACCTGAGTGACAGAGATC